GAGATTGTGCATAATAAGTGCATTATACAACACAGAAATGCACCAGGATGAATATATTATTCATGTTTTAATGATTGCTAAACTGTCACTCCATCTATCTGCCTTCCTATTGCTGTCTCTTCTCCCAGCTGCAGCCTCTCTTCTCCTTTTTGTCTCTCATCTGTTCTCTCAGCTAACCGAAGTCAGTGAAAGCGACTGTATGGTCTCCTGCTCCTTGGCACCTCACCACTACCATCACCACTTATAGGTCTGAATTGTGTTTTGTATGGGTATGTTTGTATGTGTGTGACAGAGAAAGAAGAAGAGGAATGAAAGAGTGAGCGTGTGCACAAGAGAAAGAGAGGTTAGGAGACTTGCAAAGTGTCAATGTGAGTATGTCTGGCTGTCTGGGTGGGTGTGCCTGTGAAGCTGCAAAATCATTTAAATTGGGAAAGGAATGCAGGAATGCTTGCTGGTGATTCTGATCGGAGCCAAATTTCTCTGTCAGAAAAGTCCCCAACCAGCCGCTTTGCAATTTCACAGTGATTGGAGAAGGAGTGAAAGAAAGAGTGAGGGAGGAGAGACTGAAAAAGAGATGAAATAGAGGGAAAAAAGGGGGGGGTAGAAATGAATAGAGAGTAGAAAGATATGTGTTAGAGGGAGATAGAAGCAGAGAGGAGGACAGCCTATGGTAATACTGACTTCATTTTTGTTAGTAATTCAGCGATGGGGGGAGAGAAGAACAGTGCTGTCGGAGGGGAGTCTTCCATCTTTAAAAACAATTCAGCTTTCCAGGAATAAGCAGCTGAAGTTAAAATTCACATTATTCTCATTGTCTCCTGTTCTCACTGAAAAAAATGTTTCCATGCTAGCTTGAAAGGAGGCTAAGTTTCACAAACGACCATTGTTTTTCCTCTGCCCACTCTCTTTCTTTCCATTGAAGGCAGGGTGACACAGGCTCAGACAGATGATGAGTCACATTCATAAATGTAAGCAATTTAGAGACTCCAATCAGACTCACTTCCACGTCAGTAATGTGAGAGAAACGTTTGGAACCTGTAGTACCGCCGCAGAGACAAAGGAGAGTGAAGACGAGAGCTTGCGTGTCCTTGTGGGCTTTTACAGAACAATGAGCCACCGAGCTGTGATTCATTGGATTCTGTTGACACAAACAATGCCTCAGTATTTAATGTGTGTAAGGGCCCAGCAGAGTGGCATTAGGGCTACACAGTGGAATGGCAATAGGCACGATGTCCTTGGACCAGAGATTCAGGGTTTACATCCTCATGTTGTCAAGCATCTGTCCTGCTGAAGCCTCCAACAGCCTCCAACAGCCAGGCACTGAGTCACTACGAGCTCCAGGGGAGCCGCCGTGTAGTTGAGCTACCTGACTTCCATGCAAAAGGGGGAAGCATGTTCCCCTGCTAAGAACCACCTGACATCACTGGAAATACACCAGATGTGAACATTAGGCTCACCTCCTTCTCCTCAAGATGAGTCATTTTCCACTTGACGCAAATGCAGTATTACAGAATGTGTTTCAAACATGTGACACGATTAGTTTCTGACATGCCTGGAGAAAAGATGTCCAGGTACTGGATTCATAATCACTGCATAGAGTAATAAAGCAATCTCATGAAAACATTTGAATACTCTCTTGATTCATTCCAATGCTTCTTCTCCATTGTCTCTCCTTCCCGCCTCATTTCTCTGTCTCATCCTTCTCACCTCTGTCCCCGTCCTTCGCTCTATTGTCAGTATTACCAGCTTGACGTTTATATTGTCTATATTACTCCGTTTGTATTGCACAGAACAAACTTGCAGTAGTAAAGCTCGGAGCACAGTGCAGGATTACCGGGTTGATTTACTCTCTATCTGCCACCAATCTGAGGGGAAATCCCAGCCAGAGGTTAGACAGGACCGACGGTCAGCCAGGATTATATGCTAGTGTGAGGAGTTTTACAAATTCACTCTTTCCGGCTCTCATCAATGCGCAGACACGTTGCAGCTGTCTCGATTATGTCAAACTTTATATTTACGATCAAGCGTTTGCAGATCTTTTTATAATTGGTCCTGTGCTCCTGTGAGATTGGAGGTGCTGACACGGTTGATGAATCAGAAACAAGCGGATTCATTTCAGTTCTAGCCAAGTGTGCGACACCCCGCTGTTGTCTGATCGTAGTGCAAGCAAGAGACAAAAAAAGGTGAATATATCTGATATAATGTACTCTGAAAATCAGTTCTAATTTCAAGGTCCCTAGGTTTAATCGACCCACCTTGCTCACTTTCTTCGCTTCCCTCCCTCTTCTCATCCCCTACTTGTCTCTCGCTTTCCTCCTTCTGTCTCGCACACCTCTTCCTCTTGCTCACTGCACCCTTTTTCTCAACTTTCTTTCCCCTCCCTCTCAGCATTACTCTCACTTTTCTTCCTCTCCCCCTAAAGCTATCCTTCTCTTCACAGTAAAATAAAGAAATGATCATGTGTGCTGAAGCGGCGTGACAAGCTTGCAGAATAACACGCTACTTGTTTCTCCCCTCTCGCTCTCTCCTTTATTAGTTCCTCTCTTTCCTCATTCCCTTGTTCTTCATGTCTCTCCTCCTCTCATATCCCTCTGTGTACCTCTCTCCTCCTCTCTCTTTTAGGCAAAAAAATCAGCAGTAATCAATATCATCATCAGAGTAATTGTCAGCATTTACCCCCACAATGCAAATTGCAAATTAAAAAATGTGTGTATGCGAGTGTGCACGTATATGTGTGTATAATGACAGTATTTTAAAATGTGGCTGTGTCAGTGCACACCCACAAAATGTCTCTGCTCCTAGTTTATCTCATTGTTTGAACAGCGCTGCTTTAATTAGGATAGGCCTGTCTATCCGTGCGTGCGTGCATGTGTGCGTGTGTGTGTGTTTGTGTGTGCGTGCGCCTAAAAGTGAGTAACAGTGTCTGTGTGTGCATGTTACCATAGTGCCCCCATGTGGAGGACTGTAGAAAAGCACATTTTCTATAGTCTTGTTTCTCAACGCACACAAGCACACTCACACACACTCCAATGACACGGTGTTATATTTGGAAACACAATTTCATGCTATCAGTACTGGCTAGCTATTCCATTTAGATAGCAGCCCGTCTATATATATGTGTGTGTGCGCGTGTATATGTATGTGCGTGTGTGTCTGTCTGTATGTATGCATCTACTTGTGTGTCTGCGAGTGCACAGGCTGTCTGCGTGTCTCACAGAGATGAGCCCTTTTCCAAGTTTATTGAAATTAAAAGTTGGTTGTCATGGCAACATTTGGATTCTCAGTAATTATGTTGATTAAAAATGTGCAAATTAATTAAAAAGTCAGGAAAATGATCTCACAGCAGATGATCAGCGAAAACATCAAAATGATTCAGATCTCTGTCTCTTTCTCCCCCCCTCCCGCTCTCTCTAATACACACACGTCTCCTTCTCTTCCCGTCTTTCTCTGTCGCACTTCAGAAGTCCTTTATTGCCACGCAACACTGAATTATCTACATTCATCTCTCACACACGCTGTCAGTCCGTTTTCTTCCTTCCCTTCACACATAAGCACACAATTTATGACATGAGATTTGTCCAGAAAACACAGCAAGCAGCAGCAGTGGCAAAATAGCTTATTCCCCCTCTCTCCTTTTCCATTCAATCACTCAACTCATTCTCAACTTGTTAACAAGCATGACAAGACTCGTCTCATGCCGCCAGAGCAGACACATCAGCAGCAAAAGTAACACAAAACAATAGCAGCCTCACATTCTCACTTTCAGCCTCTCCATTATTTCAGTTCTCTCACAATCCGTCTCTTGTTCTCGGTCTCTTTCTCTCTGACAGAATGAATAAACAGGCTCAGCAAAGTGTAATCTCTTTCTTTTATTAGCAACAGCAAACACAGAAACAATGAATTTACCCTCCCTCCCACCCCCTCCTCCCTGTCTGCTCTTCGCCTCTCATCAGCTTTAATGAACCACAAATCTCATCAGCCATCTTTTTCATCAGCTCTGCCATCATTACTTCCTGCACTTTAAACCTGACTGACTACTCACAGCATGTCTGTTTGTGCTGTTGGCTGATGACCAGGCGGACTGTACATCATTTTTATTTAACTGTAATGTAGACTGTATATAGATTTTTTTCCAAAAACATGTTTTGGGTGCTAATAGTCGGAGTCAATATGAAGCAGAATTCGGTTACAGTTTTCAGTGGCAGCAGTGTTAGTGTGACAGTCCTGCTCCATGGCTGTGGTTTACTAAGTGGTGATTCACTGCCAGCTGATCTTCAGCATGTTCAATATCTCACCATGGTGATGTTAAGGAGGATGGTGTTATATATTTTCCAGCCATCGGTTGACAGAGCTGGGAGCGTAATGATGGCTCTGTACAGCTTATTTCTCTCTGTACCTGTTAAGTTTAGCATTATGTCTTAAGGTCGGTAAAAACTACATGGTGTGAACATTCATACTCTTGGACGTAGCAGTGACTCGGAGCTGTGATACTAAGCCTGTATTGTTTTGCGGGTCAACATCCTTCAGAAACCGTTACAGGTGCGAGAGATTCTGAAAAATGTAAATGAAATCCGTCATGTATATAACACGTCTTGAGGCTGTGAGACCGAGCCAAACCATCGATCATATGCTGAAACGCCCCTCCCTATAGGCAGAGTAGGGCCTACATCTCTCCACAGGGCCACCAAGACTTGGCTTGGCCCAGTCTTCAAAGGGTGGTGGTAGTGGTGTTGAGGGTGTGTGAGAGGGGGGGATTAAGAATTTCTGCCAAGGGCTGCATAAAGCACAATATGTTGCACACCATCAAAAATGCATTGATCAATGAAAAATAAGGCGTCTTTTCAGCAGGATACTGATGAGGGCATATCAAAGCTATTGTTCCTAAAGTATCAAGTTTTATTTTGTGTTTCATGCTGTTATAATGTTTGCAGACAGTGAGCATAGCGGCTGAGGAGCTTAAGCATGCTGAGCAGATATCTACATGGAAGTGACCAACAATGTAATCCATATAGTGTTTAATCATAGTGTACATATTCATCTTTATTTATTTATATATTTAGTTTAGCCAGATATACATTAGATTTGTTGTAACATGTGTGCACAGGGCTGTCCATTAAGGCTATGCATTTAATAGTTGCTTCACTTACACTCCAGTGTCAATTTAAAACACATTTAATTCTTTTTCCAGCAATAGTTTTAATCAAATTTCAGCTTTATTCAAGTTTCAATTCATTTAATTTCAATTAAATTAAACTCATTTATTCTTTAGTCATGTTCAGATTTGAACTAGTTTATTTCATTCATTTCAGTTTCTTTTTTTCATACAGTGATATCACACACACATAACACATTTCCTTTTTCAGTTTTTATTACTATTATTATTATTTTAACTATCAGGGTTTCCTCGAGTCTCTAATTTAACACCAAGTGCATTAGGTCCATTTCATTTAATGCTTTTAATATTTGTCCAGATAGAGAATACCAATGAAAGCTTGTGTGATCTACATGTGCACCAGTGTGTGAATATGTTTCTTCCTCATTTATGACTGTCATGCTTTCTACTTCCTCCTAGTGGGAGTGGGACTCTTCACCCCTCTTCCTGTTGGAGCCTTGGGAGGGGCAGGGCTAGGAGCGGGGCTAGGAGCAGGCTGGGTCTTGGGCTGAGGGATCTCAATGGGGACCTTGGGAGGGATGATTGTTTTAGGGGTCAGAGTTGGCTTCGCCTCAGGGATTTTCTCTCCATGACGGTACACACTGACCTGGAGAGAAAGAATAAGGCATAATATTATGTAGACGTTTTCCACACGTGCATTTACTCTACTGTTTGTACCTATGGCAATACAAAAAGGGCTACAACACTGTACAGCATTCAACCACATCATTTTAAGTTTTAAGTAAAGAATATTCTAGGTCGGTTTATATTAAAACTGTCAAATCAAGGTCGGCCAAAAGTCAAAAGTTTAAATATCAGCTATGTAACAGCTCAGAGTTCCACACAACTGTGATCACAAAAATATCTTACTGTTAGGCCCCAATGAAAAGACAAGATTTGTGCCACAGATGGTCAGAAAAATTTCACAGCTTTGAGTAAATCCAGTAATTTGTGGTACACAGCAGTGACACTCACCACTATATCCACAGACTCCCCTCCGTATTTGTTCTGGACAATCATGGTATATCTGCCAGAATCCTCCATGGTAACACCTTTGATCGTCAGACTTGCAAACTTGCCCTGGTCCATGGAGACCACGTACTGAAATATGAAATCAAAGGTTAAAAAAGTGAGAAAGGCAGCACAGGGACTTCAGCATGATTGAACATTAAAACAGCCTGTCAGTTAAAGTTTTATTTAAAATTTGATTTATCTTTTAGTGAGAGCAGCAGCATGAGCTTTGATTACCATCTCTCTTTAGCAAAAGCTGAGCACTGCTAGATGGGCTTGATGGACACAAGGACTAACCCTCGGTTCACACTGACCTACCTGAGCTGCACATGGCTGCGTTGGCACGGTGTATATGTTTTTCGGTATAATGTCGTTATGACTATGAACAGACCATTTTCACCATCCAATTCTGCTGTGTGTACAAGCAGTGATGATCTGTTTCAGTCTATTTTACTCAGATTGTCCCTGTTAGCTCAAACAAAATATGATGGAATTAAATTACCATAAAACATACTCCATCTGTATTTCTGGAAACCACAAATCTAAAACAATGGAAGTTTAAAGTCTTCAGAGTACACTCGTGTCGATGCTCTGCAAACGTCTCAGACAACATAGAGTACTTGTATTCTGCCTTGTATTATGTGAGTGGTGTCGGTGAGAATACAGTGTTTTAATTTCCCTCTCTCATACCTGCCCACTCATTTGCAAGGTCTGGACATTAGTACATTTTTATGGAGTGGCACTTGTAGCAGGCTAATTACATTCCTATTAAGAGAAACACTTGCCTTTAATTTTGAGAAATTAAAAGCTCTACTGGCTTAAAAGTCAAATGGACCCTAAAAAAAAAGATGCCATATTTGCAATTGATGGTCCTTTTCTAATTAACATGTTATATGGTCTAGGATAATTACATTCATTTATTAGACCGATGTAGGCTAATCTGTGGGTTGCTGGTTTCTCTTTTGTTTGACTGATGTAAGGTAGCTGCTGTATAAAAACCCATAATATTAGCTTATTATAGTTGTTTTGGTGGTACCAATAACCACAAATAACAAACTTAGTGAGAAAATTATTAATTTCTATTACGCACCAACTGCTTCAACTGACCTCTGTTTAAGCCTGTATAGTTTTACAGTATTACCTATTCCTACTTTAGTTTCTAGTTTCAATGCAACATTCTCTGGATCTGTACATATTTCAGTTTGTTTTTCTGTTAATATCTTCAGCGTTCTCTGTGGTAACTACATAGGGGAGATGCACTCCTGAGGTTTGGAAAACACATCACCAAGGACGTCAGTTCTTGTTTTCGACAGATTATTAGCAGGTGAGGGAATGAATAAAGAAGAGGCCAAACTTCAACACATATTCCACCTGGGCCCGGGGTTTCTCAAACTTAAATCTTCAAAGCCGTTTGGAGCCGCAGGATGCTGATGCTGAAAGAGTCTCCACTGACTGGGGAAAGACTGTAGACTTATACTGGTTGGCAAGTAGGTCAATGAGTTATGAGAGGTAGATTTGTTCCATTACTGATCCAGGAGTGTGCTGATAATGCTGACCTCACCTAAAGTATGTGATCCCTCCAGTGAGAGATTGTAATTGGTGCTGAAGGCTCCGACAAAAGCAGCTAGAGGTCCTTTGTTTCTACATATGGAGGCTGTATAGAGACTTCCAGCAGTTTCCAACAAGAGACCTAAGTGTATAACTTGTGATGTTTCACTACCTAGAAAGTAATTTGTTTATTACCACCTCAATACTTCCTGAAGTATTTCCTGAATATTACTTGTCCATTACTTTATATAAGTTTGCATTTAAGATTTCTTGTTGGGTCAAAAATTCCTACCATGATAGTAAAACATTTTTTGTAGTCATGGTTGTATGCTGCATTTTGACAGCACATACTGTATGTTGCATACTACCCATACAAATGTGCAAAGAGTGCCAAATATTTTAACACAGTCCAAGCCTGCAGAGGGTAACACAACAGAATCCACTAGACACACCCTGAGTCCCCATAGTCTATCACTAGATAAGTTAATATAAATATATACTGTTGCAATTGTGTCTGATTAATAAGATAATTAATTATGAGAAAAGATGGAGGGGCTGGGTTTGGGAAGGGAGTAATCTGCTTTAAGAGTGAGTACTAGCGTGTGGCAGGTAGGAACCAAAGAAAAGAGTGAGGCTCTGTTTAAAGGGCTTTATCTGCTGGTCTGTGGCATTTACCTGATCGTCAGGTTCCACATCCGCTCCGTTCTTCAACCATGAGACCTGAGGCTTGGGGTCGCCACACACTGTACATGTTAAACTCAGAGTCTGTAGGAGGAACAAAAGACGTTTTGTTAGACATACATGTACACATTTACTAAAATGACACAATCACAGGCACTTACCTTCTTTTCCATAATGGTGACCACATCAGGCAGTCCTCCTACCACCTTACCACGATCTGAAACAAACCATTGTTAGAATTACAAATCATGCCTATTGCGTATTGTATTGATGATGAACTCTGGGGCCAAATTCCTTCTAGGACAACTAAACAACCAGTAGCTTTATGATTATTGGGACAATGTCTGATCATTTTAATGAGAAATAATGGTATTAACTGTATTAAAAAAGGAAAATGGAAGGATGAACTCACTCTTCTCAGCATAAGCCTCAGCCCTGAAACACAAAGAAAGAAAAGTTAGAGTACACTTATCATATACAGTATTGAGTACAAAACACTGCAACCTAAAATATGGCTCTCAGTATTCATTTGTCTCTCTAAAGCAATGAGTGTCAAATGTAACCCTGTAAATGTAGTATAGTCAAGTTTGGTTATCATCTGTTTCCACTACCTGGCTCTGCTCACTGACCACACACATAATATCTTTTCCATTTTTGACTCAGTAGCAGTGGTCAGATGGTTTGCCACAAGGCATTCTGGGTTTAGAGCCAAACCTCATTACACTGTAGTTTACTCAGGGACTTAACAGAATCTTTTCAATGGGAAAAGTGATATTGCTTTGTAGTAACTGGGTGAGGGCTGTCAGAGCAGCATGGGAGGACCACAGGTCAGCCACAGGACCAGATGGCTGAGGAACTCTGCTCTCCTCTTGGCATGTAGATGCTCAATCAAAAGGGCAACAGGGTGTCACTTGTTTCAATGTGTTTGTAAAATCTTGTGCTTAAATGTCTTTCTTTGAATGTTAATTAGAAAAGGGATTTGGACAGTTTCCACTCTGCATGCAATGTTTAGTGTTTGGAGTTTCAATTGATTTTTCTAAATGGATTTGCAAAATTCAGTGTGTGGGGTTTCGCTTTGGCCCAATTAGGGACCCAAAAGGAGGTCTGCTACCTGACTGCTTCTATTTTTAACATTGATTTTTATCTCAAATTATAATAAACTGGACTTTTTCAGACGGCAAGGCACTGGGTTCTGTGGATTCACTGTAGTTTTTGAAGTTTTGTTCAATTTGTAGATGGAGAGCAACCTTTGCTAAAGTTGTTCTGACCATTCATAAGCGGAAAAGCAGCTCTATTTACTTAAAGGTTTACTTTTCTGTTTCTGCACAGACAAGCACATGAAGCCCAAATAAAACAGCTGAGCAACATTTCAATAGTAGCAGTTCAGTGAGAAAACATACATGAAGGCTCTGACCTCTGGTACAGGCATACAACAAGCTCAGCACAGTTTAATGTATGCTTGGCCTTGATCGGGGAGTGAAAATAATTACTAAATACTATACTACTATATAATTATTTATCGTAAACACTGTGCTACTTTTAAACAAGGATAAAGAATATTGTTTTCAGTATATGAACAGAAAGTATTATTGAACTTTGAGCTACCAGATGACAAACTTGCAATGATGAAGCAGTGTAAGTTCAAATGTGAAGAAACATCATTAGCAAGAGTTAATAGTTGGAATAAAATAGAAAGGCACAAGTAAAGAAACAGATTTGAGAGGGTAGTCTTACTTGAGTTTCTGGAACTCGGCGAAGGCCTTCTCATACACTGTAAAAGACAAAAACAGAATAGAACTTAAAATATATAATATATTAATATATATATATTTTAAAGCAATATTCAACTAGAAATCCACCTTTTGAGTATAAAACCACTCAACCCTGGCTTAAAAGGTCGCTTTGAAACCATCGCTCGCTCTTTCACAAACAACTGCAGCAGTGCTCGGCTTTAATATTTAAACTGAAATGTCGGTGAAACTAACATATTGTGGTGAAAATATAAATACACTACTTCATGGCATATCTTCACAGCTTGAGGAGAGAGATAATGCAACATGTGAATGTATGCAGTGAACGTATACACCATTTGTCAAAAATATAACTAAGCATAACAGAAGGACATAGGAGATGTTGGTTATGCTTAAGGAGAGGCATGAGGAGTTTCTTTGGATAGTTAGATATTTTCTGCATTAAAACCTCTCGCTATTACAATCCATTGTAGCCAATATGATTTCTAGCTGACCACAGCTGCAGTTTTTAGTGAAAGAGCAGACTGATAACTTTTTTACAGCCAGTTTTCAAACCCACAGAGATGAGTGTTTGATACTCAAAAGGTTGGAGTATCACTTCAAAGTCTTAAACTACAGATTGAAGTCAAGAGCTCCATAAAAACAAGTGGCTCTGTTGCTTCCATTCCTCTTTTTAACTGTATTATCAATAGAAAGAGCGAGTGACATTGAAAGAGAGAGCAACGAGAGTGAGAAGGTACTGACCATCACCACTGAGGTCCAGTTTGCGTTTATGTGAGTTTTCAGGGTCCGTGATCACGATGGAGTACATTCCTTTATCCTTCTCCATCGGCTCAATCACCTGTGAAACAATCAGTTAAGAAATTGTTTATTTCTACTTGTATGTCTTTAATTAATGGTTTATAAAAGATTCATTCATCTACCGGGTAATTACAATTATTAAGCTTTCTGACAAAAAAGGGAGACACACTGCTTAATTAATTAAGCTTAATGAATTGATTTTAAAATGTATTATGTTTTATTCATTAGCCACCCCTTCTAAAGGTGACATTATCTATTAATTCTTCTCCAAGTTGCCCTGGTATCACTTTTACAAAGAGGACTTTCAAGCAACAGTACCACTGCCTGACGGGGTTTGTTATCATAAAATGACCCATGTATGATCCAGTTAAGAGGCATATACTGTTCAGCATTGTACAGGAGATGATAATACCTCCATTGTTGCCATAGAAGGAGTTCCTCCAATCACAACCTTGTCACTGTGGGAGAGTTTAGTCTCACTGAGGAGAGGAGAGGAGAGGTTAGTGTGTATGTGTATGTGTATATGTATGTGTGTGTGTTTGTGTGTGTGAGCGCTGGTGAAGCCTGCTTCAGAGGTAATGGAAAATTATGTTTACATGCCTGCCTAATGTTACGCATAGGGATACCAATTTCTCTCTCATGCTTTCTGTCGCTCTCTCACCCACACTCACAGAAAAGATTGGGGGAGAGGTTAAAAATCTAATCTCTGTCATTTTTGTTCTTTGAATAATTGAATAACAGCTCTACTTCCCCCATGTCATCTCTCTCTATTTCTTCCTATTTCCCTCTTTTTCACATCTTTTCTTCTTTCTGTCCACTCTCTTTCACTCTACTTCCCCTCCCACATTTTATAATCTCTAGGGTATGACAGAGTGCTTTTAAGTGCAGAAAAACCTTGCTTCTTTATAGGAAATGATAGGGGTGTGATTTTTGACACAAAACAGGGCAATTTTACTGCAATAACCAGGATAATGAAAACACTTGCCAACAGCCATCACAAGTTTTATTATGTGGCTTATTGTTTTTGCCTCTCCCGGCGGTTTAACTTGAGAGAAAAGCAAAATAATGTGTTTGTGGTCAGCATATTTAGAGGCAGACTTAAAAGAATACTCTTCTTCCTCCTAAAACCCCTGCTGCAACCACAAATACTGCAATATTGCATTTTTTTTCCTTCTTCTTCTTCTTCTCCTTAGTAGCAGTTGGTGTTTTAGTAGTAGTAGTAGTGTTATTAGTTTTAATTTCTTACCCATGATACCAGGTGATGTTCATCTCTGAGGTGTAATACTTCATGTGACACTGCATCTGAATGCCTGTTGCTGTGCAGTTAATCACCAGCTCTGCCGCACTGGCTCCTAGAGGAGGTGATGGGAGGTGATAGAAGTTGTGGAGGGCACATTTAAAATCAGAATCAGATACATATTTTCCATCTGCTGCTGGATAAGCTGGCCTCTCCCTGCTGGGAGGAGAGCAACAAGATGCACTTTTTTTTCTCTTTTGCTCAGAACTAATCAAATAGAATTAAACTTCCATCTGCAGCCATTTAAGCATGTAGTACCCATTTTAAGACTTCCCTTTTTATGTTACCTTTATCCATCTCGGAGAGCAGAATTGTAGTAATGAAGCAGAGTGCAGACTGTATGCTACATTCAATAAAACGCTCCAAAACATCAGAAGCCTTAATAACTTTTTTTTTTTCAAGCTGTTAAACCTAAAATGGAGTTTTATACTACACTGTGACTGTGTGGGACTTTGCTCACTGCACATTACAAGTGTACAAGTGTGTCATCCACCTGGTCACATCACCATGGTTTCCCATTATCACAGTAATGAACCCTCTTCTCCTCTGCAACCACTGCTGTAACAGTTGCTGCAGAGCTGTCAAGTGACTGTCTCTTAAAATAGGAGTAAGATTCTCCTCCACACTGTCACTGTGACAGCGCGGTGGAATTTTAAAGTGATTTCACCACATGACGACATGATGGCCAAATGCTTCCAGCATGACAACTTCTGCCACATGCTGATAAGTGTATGTGTGTGTGACAGTGAGATTTTAAAACAGAAGTGCCTGGTAATAAATCTAAATCTCTTATCACTGTGGTTTGATTGTGTCATGTTAAATTTAGATCATTTGCACTACAGTGGGTAGATGGTGATGATGGTTTAGTACTGTTTTTAATATGGATTTCTGTTAGTGAGATAATTTGTGTCTGTGTATTCACTTATGTGCGTGTGTGTGTGTGTGTGGGTGCGGGTGTGTGTAAAAGACAGGTACCCACCAGCCAGTTGGCTGATCTTGTTGATGGCATCCTCAAAAACTAGAAGAGAGGCAGAGAAACATTAGGGTCAGAGAACAAGCCAAGAGGATGGAGAGTCACGATGCTGCCCTCTGGTGGCTGCATTCAAATTTCAGTAAAGGTAGGCTTTTAATTAAACATGTGTAGTAGTCTGGCTACTCCCCAGTTACAGAGTTATAGTTAATATGAGAGAAGTTGTCTCCATACCCTATGACTCAGTATCCCTGTGGCCATTATTAACTAATTAACTGGATGTTTCTGTTCTTTGGTGGCATCCCAATGTAGATATAAATGACAAAAAGGTATGAAGAGCTGTATCTGTGAGCTAATCTATTCCTCAAGGGCTGATTAAATACTTACTAACCTCTAAGACAGAGGGGACAAAAGATGGTCTGAAAAGGACAGTAATGCTCAGTTCTACTATTAAAATGCATACAGGAGTACTGTACAAGCTTGAAGGACTCCGGAGTACCAGCTTAAAATATGTTACACAAACTTTAACAGGACCATTAAAATGATTTTTCTCGGGATTAAATACAGCCAGCAGGTGAGCAAGTTGGCAAGAACTATTTTAAAAGAGTAGTCAGAAAAACATAGTTGGCATGTGTTACAAATACATTAGTTTACCATATACACACAGAGAAATAGGGGTATCATTTCTGTATCCAAAGGTACATTTGTCAGAAAAATACCCGTAAGGTATGGAAAAGGTCCTTAAGGGGATAACCGTGGACATTTTGTTTAATTTTAAAGGTACAGAATCAAAATAACGGGGTACATATTTCACAAATCAGTGATCCCAAAATCTTGATTTAAATAGAGAGTTGGGTTTTTTAAAATAAAACAGGCTACTAGTAAATTACCCTTTTAATTATTGGTCTGAGTGACCAGGGAATAATTTAATGAGCAAAGAAGTAACTACAGCACTTCCATTCAATATTTTAATTTTGCCACATGGACGTTTGGGCAAGGCGTACTTCTTCAGTGTGTATTGGCAACTTCACAATGGATCTATTTGAGGGATTTTCTTTATTTAATCAAGTAGCTAATTGTCAGTGTAGCAGAGTGAAATGCTTCCACAAGCCATTACCATTACTGTCAATTTTTATTTAAGTATTATCACTGTTTTATTGTCAATCTATTAACTCATTCTTTGCATTCCTCCACAGGGACTCGTTATTCTGTGTTTATTTAACTTAATTTTATGCTGTGACCCTCCCTTATGGAGCCCCTGCGTAGCTGGGTCGTGCAAGCCTTTTTTTTCCCAGGCATGTGCCCCTGGCAAGTGCACTTGTAGTTGGCACTGCTGAAGCTTACAGAGTTTAAAACTGGATTTAGGCCATTACAGAACTCACTGGTTTGGCAAAATCAGTTCTAGCTAAACAATACAATGAAAAGGAGCTAAAAAGTGTTAAAAGACGTAAGCTAGTTGTTATTTCTTTAAATAAAGTTTGGTGAATAATTGCAAATGTTTGTCTCTGAATATAAGGGTATGTTTCTGCCACATAAAGGATCAAAATGGAATGTCGCCCACCCCAATGGGTACATTTTTGTAACTAGGGGTATAGAAATGTTCTTTTAGAGGCATGAAAAAAGAAGGTACAAATATGTACCATTCAAAGGTACAGTGCTTGTATCCTGCTAGGGTACAGCTGGAGCGACAAAGCTTTTGTACCCTTTTAGGTCCATGTCTGTACCTAGACTTCTTACTGTGTACAGATAAAGTATATACATTTGGATCATATTTTTTTCCTGTCTACCACTTTTTTATTTCTTTTATTTTTCTTTTAATTTTAAAATTTAAATTGTTTTAAATCTTTTTTCAGTTTATATTTTTCATTGGCCGTTTCAGTTATTCTTGCTCAATTGAGACAACCAGCCAGCCAGCAAGTCAGTGAATTACTGAATTAAGTTTATCAGTAAGATAAATTAGGTACGGAAAATATGTTTACCTTTTCCAGAGATGTCAATTTGGCTCATATCTTTTCCTCTGTCATCACTGATGGTGGCCTTATAAACTCCTGCTGTCTTCAGTGAAAACTGCAGGAGAAATAGGAAACACATACAATAGTGTGAAGAACATGGGAAGCACAGATTTCTTGAATTCTAAATCTGAACACATTTTTGCATTTTGTACCAAACCAAATCACTGAACACAATGTTGCATCCATTGACTTAGTATAGACACAGCAATACACCATATCCTGCTACATACATATATACGTACATATATAACCAGGCTTAGAAATAATAGTCTTGTACATTGTTTAATAGCATTTAGATTAAAATGACCAAATTGCAATTACCAGTTTAATTGGCAGTTTACAGACTCCTGATCCCAGGTCAGGTTTCACATCAGGGATGATCTCTGTGTCTTCTTTATACCAGTGGAACACTGATTCCTTCTTCAAGTTAGCAACCTGCAAATAAAAACATATTTAAAAATATTATTAAAACAATTAACAAGCTTCTTTTTTTGTATTCTATGTATATAGTAGATTATCGAATCCCAGTGGCACCAATTCAGATCGACCCAGCCCAAAAACTGCATAAATCTGTATCTAAAAGATTTATTAGTCCTGGGTTTTAGATGAGTTGCACCTCATCTTTTCATAGCAACCCGAGCTATTTAACAGTGTAACAGATTCATTAAATCTTTTCTGCCTAATAGAAACCTGTTATCAATGTCATTAATGCTGCACACCTCATATTTTATAACTCATTACAAGATGCAAATCCAAACAAGTCAGTGATGTGTGTAAAGTTCAGTTTCTGTGGTGGTTCATTAAGACCAAGAGATGCCTCAACATCTGTACTTTAGGTAGTTTCTCTCACCCAATCTCATGGATACAAAATGAAATCTGTCCCTCAAGAGATTGTTGGCTTGTGGTTATTTTTAAAGAATATATTCTACCCAAACAAATCACTGACACCAACTACAAATGACTATTTCTGTAAGTACTATTTCTGCAAAATGGTTGGTGCTTGAAAAGAAGCATATTACCCACTTAATTTACTGTGTTTGTTTATTCAGAATGCACTTACTTAGGCTAAACGAACAGATCAAACAGATGTCAGCTTCAGATTGTCTTGAGGGATATGAACAATACTTCGATTTTAAAATTGTTTTAATTATATACGTCATGCTAACAAAGCCAAGCCAAGCCAAAATCCTGACAGTGTAATTCTGGTTATTTTCAATCTGGACCTTATCATTACACAGCATTGGCACATCCTGCACTCAGCCTCCATAGAATAGCTCATCAGCTATCCACAAGTCAGCCTCCCATTTGTTTAGAGTGTAAATATTCAATAATTATTGAGTTTGGCTGTGTTTACCTTGCAGACCAAAGTGACAGAGCAGTCCTCTCCAACCTGAAGTGACAGGAACTCACTGAAGTGGGGACCTGTGGTGGATAAATGCAGGAGAGAAAAGCCCAAGGAAGGGACATAAGCTTAAAACAAATTACTTGTGGACAATGAGTGTGTGAGCTCCATTAACTGCCTGGTGCATTAGTTAAGCGTGGTTTCAACATTCCTAATAGAAGATACCACAGTGGAATATTCTCGTACACCTACAGCGGCTGTTCTATAAATGTCTAAGTCCAGGACTTGTTTTGTCATGTAGTGAGCCATTTCAGATGGGTCCATTATGAGTTTAAAGGTTCCAACTCCCAGTTGAAGTGATGTTGGTCTGTTTCTTTCTTGTACACTCACTGATTAGATTAGTTGTCTCCCAGGCAACTTAGTGGTGTTCTGGTCTTAGGCTAAGTAAAACTCGTACAAGCTTAAAAGTGGATGATGTTTTGTGTTTCTTACCCTCTTTGACTCTGATGTACTCTCTCCTCTGGTAGTCAGCCTCAGCAAGCGCTGCCTTGAAAGCTGTGTGTACATACAGATACACATAAACAGAGAATAATTAAAAGATCAAAGTGTTGCCAGTAGTTGCTATAGATTTTTTCAGTGGATTAGCAAGCTAATGGTCCCCTGTATGAGAGTGGAATCATAATTTATGAAAAAAAAAAACATAGCTGCTTCAAACCTACCTTTACATTTATCAACTGAATACATTTACATCATGTATCTTATGCTAGTGATGTGGTAAGTCTACTGCCACACACACACACCCACCCACACACAAGGACATGCATAGTGCATATGTCTCAATAGGCTGTGTTCTGGCTGAGGAGCTGGCCTCTCTTACCATCTCCAATGAGAACCAGGGAGCTCTGTGCTTTGCCTCCTCCATCTGTGATCTGGCAGGTAAATGTCCCCTCATTCTCCTCGGTGAAATGGTCCATGATGAACTCAATGATACCTGTAGAGACGTCATGACCCATCTTGTTGGGCTGCAGAAAAATAGAGTTACTTGTTGTAAAAATGCCATAATGCACTCGATTTTAGACTAGACGGATACCTATTTCCTGTAGTTATGGCTTTAATGTTGTAACATGCGGCTGACTGAATGACTGACTGAATGTACATCAAGGGCAGACACACGAAAATAATTTTTTCCATCTTTCCCCATGTCCATGCTTTAAACTACAGTGTATCTTACATCAGCTCCAGACAGTTCCTTGTTGTTGGCAAAGAATTTGTAGGTGACATTGGAAGAAATCTCCTCAGCCTGCAGCCAGAACCTCATTCTGCCTCTCTCCAAAATCTTATAGGCCAACTCTGATTTCAGTGGTATGACTGCAGGAGAGAAGAGGAGACGAGGGGAAGGTTACGGGTTCAAAAACATTATTGGGCTTATTTACTAATATCATAACCAAACTAGTGTTAATTTATCAGCAACAAAAGAGGCAAGGAGAAGAGACAAAAGAAAAGGATAGGTGAATAGTGGTTAGGCAGGTGATGCAAAAGCAGGTAAGACTTTTTTGAATCAAATAAAAAGAGAAATGTGTTTCTAAAAGAAGAAAGAAATCTGAAAGGTTCAAAGCAAGTCAGAACAAAGCAAAATGAAGGTGTGAAAGGGAGAAACCAAAAAATAGGGAGAGTGGGTAAGACAGATTAAAGACGCAGCAGAGGAAAAAGTGTAAGAGAAGAGAGATTAAAAAGGACAAAGAGAGAGATTATGAAAGATGGAAAGAGTCAGCCAGAGGTACTTACTTGGGTGTCTGATATCATAGCTGAGTGCCAGCATCTTAGCCAACTCTGAAATGTGAAAAGACAACTTATTCATTTCACGCAGCCATGGGCACAAACTAGGAGCTACAATACATGTTACACTTTGTACACAGATATTATTTTATCATGCACTTTGACAGGGTGCTTCAAGTACCATGTCTGGAGTTGGAGAAGTCACTAATGTAACTGAGTTTAATAGGAAGAGGCAGATAAAAGATAAATGCACAAACACCTCTATAGCCATAGGGAAGACAATACATTATGGCTCGGTGTTCTTTAAAGCCTAGAACTGGACCCAAAGGTCCACTCTGAAACTCCCCAAACAAACTGCATTGAGAGTTAGTACATTAAATCACTGGAGTCTTCCCAAGTACCTGTGATAAAAGCGCAATATATGAAAAGTTGTATACTTGGAGTTTAGAAATGATTCTAAGTTAGGCTGAAGAAACTGTAGGCCAAATGGGAAGCAATCACTGCAAGGTGCACTGAATAACATATTATGGCCATAGTGGTGCAATAGCAAGAAAAACATTCTGAAACTTTCTGACAGGAAGCCCTTTGCCATGATGACATAGTTTTTAAAACACACAAACTGCCCCAAGCTCAGAGAAATTTTGTAAGCAACGTGCTCTGCTAGTATTCATCAGATGTTTAATGAAATTGTTTGTTGCCTACATGCCAGTGTGATCGTTTTTTAAGCACGGTCTCATTACTTTCATCTTTATTTCATCCCACACAGCGCCTCAGTTCTTCAATACATAGTTTCCTTTTGAATTTTGCTTAAGTCTGTACTTTTGATGTACATGTCTAACTGGATGCTGCAGTACAGCTGTACACATTTTCATGATCAAAGCATGAAATATATTTGCTTGCACTATTTTAACAGATGGAGGAAATAATATTTAATGCAATGTAAATGCTGATGAGATTATGAATAATGGCAACAATTCAAATTACAGTATGTCAACAGGAATAAATAATCTGTCAGTCTGGGGCTGTGAATAACTGTAACTCAAATGATTTTCAGTAGTTTAGGTTGTAGATATAATTTTTCAGTTTCTGTACATTTAGAAAGCCAGAGTAAAATCCTACCTTCAGCAGAGATCTTATAGCTGGATGACACTCCCTCTGTGTTGGTGACAGAAACAGAATATGTCCCGAAGTCCTCTTTATCTGCATTCTTAAAGATCAGCTTAGAACTACAATGCAGACACAGACATAAAGACAGAGAGATGATGCATACTCAAGATTTCAAAATGCATTTTTTTGTTTGCATGTGTACACCAAATATTTTTGTGTGTGTGTGGTCTTACTGGCTGCCTTCGGTCTTAATCACCACTCCTTTGGAGAAATCTGTGATTTCTTTATAATCTTTCTTCCAGATAAACTGAGAGCCCTCGTTTGTTTGGCACGACTCGAATGACATAACAATGTCACCCGACTTCTCATCCACACCACAGGATACCTCCTGGAAACCTTGAATACACAGAGACAGGCAAACACACACAAAGTGAGCATTTTTAAACTGCACATATTTTAGTCAAAAAAGAAGGAATGAAGGAATATTGTCCATAGATTTTATATTACACTGTGTTTTATTAGATTTTTCTTCTACACTTGCAATTTTCATCTCGCCTCCAGCACTTTCAAAACAAAGTGCATCATTCCAGCTTAACAAAGCCATGATAATCTCCTACTGTCTGTAAATAAATGTTACCTGCCACAGCCTTGGCAGTCACTGGGTCAGATGGCATTGAGGCCATACCCACTCCAGCAGCATTGACCCCACGTACTCGGAAAATATAGCTAGTGTTCGCCTCCAGACCTGTTACCTAGGAAACAAACAGAAGTGTTAGTGAAGAGAAGAGAGCTATGAGGATTTCTGCACCAGTGTTAATCATTAGTTTGGGGACATTTGACATTAACACATAACTGTGACATTAACTTTGTTGCAGTATGTTTTTCTACAACATCAGAAACCGCTGCAGATTTCTTAGTTTCTGAGACAGCTGTAGTACAGCGAATAAATTCAAAATATATTGTCATATACTAGCACCCAGAGCCAACAATTTTTATTTTTTGCAATAAATTAATTAATGTCATTTTTATTCACTCATAATTAATCTGTACTGTTTTGCAACCCATGTTTTATTAGGTCACTAAATATTCTTCACACTACACAGTTGCCACATACATATAATGTTGACTTTTTGACTGACTTACCAGTGTCACGTAAATAAATCACCAAATTGCTACTACATTTCATTCGAAGCATATCCATCTACCGTCTTAGCTTTTTTTTCTTTCTTCTGTATTTCACCCAGTAACTTTTTACTTTATCCACTAGGTGTCAGTATCATACAGTTTAATGTCAGTGCATGTACTATGCAACATTGTGAATAAAACAGTTTAGGCTGGTAATGAAGGCTGAAATGTAAAGGACAGAAGTTTGTAAACAATATTATAGTAAACAGGAGCCAATAGAAAGCTTTGCACAGTGCTGATCAAATTATTAACACAAGCAGCAATACAATGTAGCATCAGGAGCACAATGTACAATAGTAGAACAATAATTGTAACTTGTTTCAGCAATGCTGACACAAAACACCAGTTCCGCAACAATAACATTTTCTACAGTAAAGGTGTGTGTTAGTTTTTGCCATGCCATAAGCTGTTTTACACTTTGTGACCAATGTCTGCTGAAAAAAGAAAACAAGAATTTATGGCATACCTTTATGATTACTTTCATTATTGATTAATCTGTCAATGATTTTCTTGATTGAAGTGAAAATATGCCACATCACAATATATCACAATTTCCAAAAGCCCAAACTGAGGTATTCAAACTGCTTGTTTTGGCTGACCAGCAGTCCCAAAATCTAAAAACTAGTAACTTTACTGTCATTGTCATTCACAACTGAGAATTTTTTTTTGATTTCTTAATCAATTAAACACGTTTTTAACTTCAAATAGCACATATGAAAATATTTCAGATAATCATACTTAACCCTAACATAACCCAAAAAGAAATTAACCATAAATAATATTACAGATGTTCTCAGTATGTTTTGGTTATATCTCACCTTGTGGAAACGATGACTGACAGCCGTCTGATTGGCTGTGGTCCACTCAGAAGTGCCCTTCTTAGCGTACTCAACATGATAGCCTGTAATTGGTCCAGAACCAGCATAGACAGGCTTTTGCCACTCAACCACCAATGAATTATCTCTCACTTCAGTGAAAGTCAGGTTATAGGCAGGACCTGAAGACACACAGAATAAAATATTACATATAATTTGTATTTGTGTAAAAATCCACCAATGTGTGACCACATTCAGTCTCTTTCTCCTAATTCTCAAGGCTTATTAGTTTAAATAAGCATGATTGCCATTAACTTGTATAGGCTTCATGTTTTTTAGGCAAGTTTCAAAGTTTGCCAGTGAGTCGGTTAGAAGAGGTTCACTAACCAGGCTCTGGCATAGTCCAGGCCTCACAGGTGAAATCAGCTGATTGTTTGGAAGCTGTTCCAAGGCCAGCCAGGTTGGCTGCATACACATGGAACTGATAGACTGCTCCCTCTGTCAAGCCCTCCACCTGTCAATAAAACAGTTACCATGGTTAATAAAATGCCAATCATCATTATCTTTAACAAACTGGGCAAGCTGCTTTCCAAACTTACACAAGCCGATACAAAACAACCACTGTGAAATAGCCGATAGTTAAAGTAAATGAGTGCTTGGTTAAAAAGTTGCTTATTCAGAGATCCTTATGGACCCAGATATTTATTTTAGAATGTGGAAAACCAAACCAAATCATACTTAAAACAAAGGTATGTGACTTAAGCTTTGTTGTGACATCAAATAACAATTAACTGAAGTGCTTGGATACACTTCATGCCAAAATTGTAGGTTCTTCTTCCGTTTGTTTTAAGGTGAGCTTGACAGACGTTATTGTACCTTATAAAGTCTTTCTGTGAGTGGTGGGATGTGAACTTCCCTCCACATGGTTGTTCCGCTGCGTCTTTTGTCCACGTAATACTCCTTGATCTTTGCTCCTCCAGTGTGAAGAGGCTTTTTCCAGTTAAGAACCATTGAATGGCCGTCACAGTTCAGTAGTGCGACGTCGTAGGGAGAAGAGGGGTTGGCTGAAAAGGCAGTACTGAATTTCAATACTTTTAGTTACAAAAATGTGTTTATTTATTGGTTAGGATCCCCATTAGCTGGGCCCTAAAACACAACTAGTCTTCCTGGGGTCCACATTTAAAAGCACTACAGTCCAAACAAACCAAAACATTAAAAAACATACATTAAACATTATGGTCAACACTAATGACAAACATAAGACATATTAGTGATGTCAAAAATCTAATCAAAATGATCATCACAGTCCAGTACGCAGCAGATAATCATCATTTTCACCATCAATAATAATAACCAAAAATGTAATACTGACTGAGGGCAGCCTTAACAGTCAGAGGTGCGGACTCCTGGGATTCATCACTAAGACCCAGCTCATTGATAGCCTGGACACGGAACACATAGGTTTCTCCTTTGGTCAAACCACTAACCACAAACCTGCAGAAACAAAGCCACAGAAGCCCATGAGTAATCAAAGAAATACACATTTTTGTGCAATACAGCATGTTTTTTGTTGATTTGAAAACATACTTGGTGCTCTTGTGAGGTTTGTGATTGGCCGAGGTCCAGTCCTTGGACCCTTTCACGCACTGGTCGATATAGTAGCCAATCAGATTGTTGGGTTCCTTTGGAGGAGCCCACTGGATGAGGACAGAGGTGTCTGTTTCCCTGGTAGAAATCACCTGACCGGGAGCAGATGGCACACCTGAAGACAAACATTTACATTCATAAGCAATCTTACACAAATCAACAGCATAAGTGTGGATTCATTCCACCGCTGTATAAAATCTATTCATCTGTGTAATACTATAAAGGATTGGACAGAAACAGACCTTTGAGCTCCTGAGTCTCGACAGGTCCAGTTGGCTCTGATGGCTCGCTGTTTCCATACATATTGGCAGACACAACTCTGAACTTGTATTGTTTGCCCTCTGCTAGGTCAAATACGGCGTAACGGGGAGATCGAATAGGAACCTGAGTGTTAACACGCTGCCATGCACCAGTGTCTGCCAGGCACTGTGGGGAGAGAGAGACAGAGAGAGAAAGTACGCTTACTGATACTACACATACACGTAGTGATATTCTGTGCTAAATTTGAGCCTGGACTTATTGCAGATCTCTGGACAAATCTAACTCTTTAGATTAAGTCATTTCCCAATAGTCTGATCTAGTGCAGTTGATCAGAAACCTGCACAAAAAAAAAATCATAATGCATGAAAACATCATCTTCTACAGAAGTGAAGATGGTATGGTCACTGGAGTAGTTTGCCTAATATCAGTCTGTAATCTTTACTAACCATTCAAATCAGTCTTGGTTCTTTTATAGAATTTATAGAAATGAAATTAATATTGTTGGGCCAAATACAGCATTGTACAGGAAAGGTCTTGTTGTCATTCACACATTTAATTTATTTGTTCAACCAACCATTGTATGTGCCTCTGATTATGTAATCCTGTTTTTTTTTTATCCACCCTTTGCTTCCAAGGAGAGAGAGGACTACAAATATTTTCACACACCGATGATGTCGAACCACACAGCAGCTTTACTGGAGTAGAGAAGGGCTTTCAAACATAGAACAAAGTGCATTCTTACAATGACAAGGCATGCATCTAAGTAGTACAGTGTAGTATGCAAAGCAGCATTGGTGACATTGTTTGTTACCTTTTCTATGTAGTACCACATGGGAGCCTTGCTGGAATATGCGGGGGCTTTCCAGCTCAGAACAACATATGTCCTGTCTGTTTCTGAGGCATTAATCCCTGATGGAGCACCTGGAGGCTTTCCCTCAGCTACACACAAACACACAGAGGTGATTAAATACACATACACACTTACACTTTGAGACATATACTGTTGTCCTGCAACTGTGTACAGTAATATACTAGAAGTACATTATAGATATTATACACAATAGAAGAAATAGATATATATTCATTTTAGTAACAACTCACCTTCCACTTCATCATGGTAAGACACAACATCTAGTTTTCCTCCAAGTTTTTTGGCTACAGGAAGGAAAAACCAACATTATCACCAATTATGTCCACGCTGAAGTTCTAGTACTTGTTTATTTGGTAAAATGTTTTTGTTTAGCTAGAGATTTAGATAAATGTTGTTTTGTGGTTCTTGAAATGTATCAAATAAGCACACTGGGATCAAATATTATCCATCATCACATTATATCATCATATATATATGTCAGTTTTTGATCAACGGTGACAGAAGGACAACTGCTCTGACAAAAGAAGGCCACATCATTCAAACATAAACCAAACTTTGTACGATGACCCTTACATGTAGCAGAGTCCAATAAAGTAGTTTGGTCAGTGAAGCAAAATGATCAGACACGCAATGACTTCTGCAGTATGCGTGCCAAAGATTTGTTTTAGTACTGAATAACGTGGAAACATTCATGAATTGGCTATTGAACTGTGTTTGAGTCCAGTCAATAAAAGAAAGTATCAAAATAACCATTATATTCTATATGATCATGTCATGTGTATATTCCATTCAAAATAGCAGTGACATTTGGCATTCATCAGCAACTACGGGTGGGACGCATTTCAAATCTTCAAATTCTGTAATATAAAAGGTAGGGGTGACATTTCTCTGTACTAATCCAGTTAAACCCACCATGGAGCTTCGCAAACTCAGTGGGGTCCAGTGCAGCAATAGGATCAGACATGCGGGATGGTTTGCTGATTCCGTGCGAGTTCACTGCTCTGACTCTGAAGTAGAAGGAGTGTCCTTCAAACAGCCCAGACACTGGGTATTTACATATCTTAATGGGGTGATCATTGCACTGGGTCCAGTTTTCAGTTCCAACCTCACATCTACAAAATTAAGATCAAAAGAGACAAGAAAAGTAGTTCAGGAAAGTTTCCAGAAAGCACAAAGAAAACCTTATTATATACCTAGGTTTACATTAATAAAATATTGTGTTAGATTTTTGACAGGTATCATGCTGTTATGGCTCAAAAAGAGACCATAAGTTATATAAGACGCCACCATCATCATGTCATAACACATAATAATTTTATGTTCTGAAGTAGTAGAGGTTTGGTTTGCAGAAGAGATTTTTACAAGATCCTACAAGATCTTGAAATAGAACTCGAAATGACGAGCACAACAATACTGTTGGAACTTCAGGCAGTAATATGAGGCTGTAGTTGAGTAAATTATTATAGTGATCAATAATGGCAAGTGCATTAGAATACAGTGGATTCAACATTGTAAGTAACAGTTGAGAAGTGGTCAAGTAATAAATGAATCAACAAAAATGAGCTACATAGAGATTATTTTCTGTCCCTTATGGTGCTTGGTAAAAATATGAAATGTAGTTCTGTTACAAGAAATACGAAAACAGTGATTGCAAATAAAAGATTCTTGGTTTAGACTCCTATAAGTTAGTGAGCCAAGCGCATTTAAGCTTCTATTGGTTAAATATGTAGGTACAGAAAGGGCCAATAAGAGTACATCTGAAAATGAATGGAGGAGTAAAGAGAAAAAAGGAGTACTCTCATACTGTAGCTGTAGCTTGATAATCAAACAAACACTATGTGATGACTTACAGTAATCAGTTTGTCTTTATGTTGGTCAGTTTATCTATTTATGGTGTTTATATCAGTAACTCCTACTTGTCCACAAAGTATCCCAGGATTGGTCCCTCTGTGGTGGTATTTGGGGGCTTCCATGACACAATGACATAGTCTCTATTGGCATCGTGGATCTTGATGTCCATGGGAGCACCAGGTGCACCAGGGACTGGGGGAGGACCATCTACACACAAAGTGACACAGTGACATGTTAGTAATCACATTATAAGTAAGTAATACATATTTAAATAACAAACAGTCACAAAAATACAGGCGAGTATTATGTTGAACAATGAAATAAAAACCCAGTATGATTCAAGTTTCAAATTTTAATCACTGATGATTTGATTTCAAGTTATCAACTCGTCTCACCTGAGACAGAGACAAAAGCACTGTGTTCTGCAGTGCCTCCTTTAGTGACCATGCGTAGTGTGTAGAGGCCTTCATCATCCTTGAAGAGGTTAGGAAGAGTCAAGGTGGTGACTCCTCTGCCAGTTTCAATCTTCACCCATTTAGAATCAAACAGACGCGTGTCTGGAAATGAGACGGGATCCTGAATTCAGTGTCACCTCCTGCATAATTGTTATAAACCTCCATTTTAAACTTGTCCTTGCAATATGTTTCTATGAATTAAACATGTGGTTTTATTGCATATAGTGATTATAGAATATAAAAGATTAACTTATAACAATTTGCTTTTATAGCACATGGCACATTTATGTAATGTCTATAGACACTCATGAATTGGGGGTATATTGCTAGAGTGTATTTAACTACTTTCACTATAATTAATTAGCAATAGAAATAGTGTCCGTAACAATTTCATTCCATTTTTCCATTTCTGTGCCTTTGGCTGCATGTAGGCTAAATTGGGTCTGGTAGTCACCTTGGCAGGCAGTATATATTAATAGCAATTATAGTGTAATTACTTTGTCATAAAATGCTACTTTATAACAATTACCATCTCTGTACCACTGTGCCTCAGGCTGCAGGTTGGCCAGGTTGGGGTTCAGGGTCATAGTAGCAGTCAGTGATGCAGATTCTCCCTCAGTTGCAAAAACAGGCCCAAACTTTTCCAGAAAAGTGATGTTGATTTTAGTGTAGTGGATCTTGGGAAGCATGGCAGCTGAGAAATTGGGGAAAGAAAGAAACAATGAATATAAGAGCAATGGGAATAGGACTGGTGGTTGCTTCACACTACTATGATGAGAGAAAGGGGAGACATATTTTATTCCCTGATCTTGTGATTTCTGGACATGTTTAGATGGAGCTGGAGGTAAATATGATGCTTACCAGTGAAAGGCAGCCATGCATAAGGACAGGACTCCTCTTCCTGCTTGAACCCTACATGATTAAAAAACAAACACACCAAAAGTTAAACATTATTAGCAGCAGTCAGTTGTAATAATTAAGTAAGTAATTATTGAACAAGCAGAAAAATGGTAACGGATAGCAGTAAAGGAAAACTGATGGCCTAAAATGGGCAGGTATGGATCCAAGTGCCTCAGCTAAATATAATGACAAATGGTTTGTTTATGAAACTTCAGTTATTATTAACTGAACAGAGATGTTAGAAATGTTATTAATATAATTGATATTAAGTAACAAAACACAGCTTTAGCTCTGTCAGAGTTGCAGAGTCCTGCAAATAAAGATAATAAATGTATTATTAGTAAAGTAGTTTAGATCTTAGCTAATGGCTAATCTTGAGTTAAGGGTGAAGCTCTGCCTTAAAACATCCCCACTCTTTCAAGGCATTTATAGAACCCACTGATATCCTCTTGCAATTGGTAGTGCAAGGACTTGACATGTTCTCATGTAAATGTATGATAAAAACTGCAACATCAGAAACAAGACAATCGGATAGAAGGACTTACTCTTGACAATGATGGAGGCCTGACTAGAGGCCTGTCCATGGTTGTTACCAGCCACCACAGTGTACTGGGCGGTATCATCAGTTGAGCATCTAAATATACACACATAATAAAACAAACGTTAAGTATACCTTAAATATACGTATTGGGAGTTCTCACAGACTCTCATTGTATTTAATCAAAAGAATATTTCTTTAAATAGCCAACATATGTGTGACTGAGACCATGGATTATCCTAACAAGGTTCTTCACTGCCTTATATCAAGCCAGGGATGTTTACAGTGATCTATAAAAACATGGAAAATGCCTACATATTAGACGTACACGATATCCTAGTGGGATTTGCTTTTACAATTTATGTATGAAAGTATTGCATCGAATGAGCAGCTGAGCCGGCACAGTAAAGATTGTGCGAAGCCCTGTTCACACATACAGTGAAAGCTGCAACATTGCTGGGTCCATTTCTCACATGGAGGTATTGGTTTTAACTCGCAGTGCTCCTGCTCTAGTGTCTAGTCTGACCCTACTTGACATACGTATTCTAGAGAGATTACTGTAAGTGATGCTTGGACAATACTTGGCAATTAATTAGACATATTACTTGTAGACAGTGCAACAGAGCTGTAACATTAATCTGCTCTTCTTTGTGAATAGATGACAGTTCTTTTCAGTCAGCATTGGTTCAATTTGCAGGACATTTTAACAAAAATGCCTAATTTACAATAAAATTGGCTGCTGCAAAATTCATGGTGTGATCAAGTTGCAAGATGTAAAGCATCCCCTTCTGTGTCTCTTGTTATTGGAATGCTCTAAATCATATTTACATGAGATGTTGTGTTCGCTCTAGAGCCACAGATGTTCGACAATCTTAGCTAGCCCCAAGCAAACAAGATGCAGAAGCTACTGATTTAAACAATCTGCTCTCAGATGGTGCCGTCATAGAAAAAAAAAGTTGCTGGCTAAGGTGCATGTGGGAGAGATTTAGAAAGAAAGTGTAAGAGGCACACAAGGGCTGCTAGTGAGGTCAAAGCCACGTTTTGGTGTCACTATTATTGCATGTCATGCATTCTTGTGTTAAGGACTAACCTCAACCTCTCAGCCTCTCACTTCTTTAATTATCTCTTTATCTTTCAGTCTCTTCATCTTCTTTATTTCTCTCTCACCCTGACGCTCTTCTCACCAACTCTCATATTACACCAGTATCATTTAGCATGGGAATTTCAGCCTGTACAGAATGCAAAGGCGATGAAGAGCAGATGACTTTGACATTACTGCCGGAAGTAAGTGCAGTGAGTTCCAGCAGGGAGCCGAGGGAGAGCAGCAAATGTATTCTTATTTTGGATCATAATAGCATTCAGTAAATCCTTGTAATGCACAGAAATGTTTGCACTGCTGCAAAAGTGTGTGTGTCTGTGTGTGTGTGTGTCTTTGTAGGGGATGATAGGAGGGAGCGTACAGAAATATCATGGTGTAAGAAATGAGAGGGTGGGGGGGGGGTAGGGATTCTGCATTCCTCCCTCTGTCATGAGCCTGGCTTAAAATTACGACATGTAACTGGTAATTTGCAATTCAAAGCAGATTCCTCTACAGTCTTCTAAGTTAGCTTATTTTTCAAAATTGTGATACCATCCTAAGCCTTTGATGGTAGCAATCATTTTGTCCATTCTGCTACTTTGTTCACTTAAAACACACAGAATTCAGTGTTAATGGTAATCTACTATATCTAACAGTCTTGTGAATTTTAGGAGAGTGATGGTGTTAATTTTTCTACGAGAGTAATGGCTGTTGGCTATTCTGTGTGTAAGTAACAGACAGAAGGAGCTAAAGGTGACTAGATCCAAAGAGAGAGTGATGACTTGAAGAGTCCTGGAGTATCACGTACCACTGAGGTCAGCAGTCGAACAGCTGAGCTTCCTAAGACTGGAGGGAGAGCGGGATATGCATCCCCCCTCCATATCTTTAAGCACACAGCCTACCTACACAGTCAGTCGGCTGACGTTATTACTCTAGTCTGACTTTGTGTGGCCATCCCAGTGGGACTGACAAGGTGGTTTAACATGTAGTCTAGGGATCAATGATTAACCAGTCAGTGGCCCATGAGGGCAAGTGTCATGATGACAATATTAAAGACAACCAGGGGAAATCATTGTACACAAACAGTTACTCACCAACATTCATTCTATCCTTAAAGCCAACATTAAATGCATTTCTTGCTACCTTTGACAGTACCTTGTGCTGCCACAAATTATTCCTGCTCCCTGCAGTCAGCAAACATGTTTAATTCTGACTTTACAAAGCTCCCTACAGTCACATAAGACACATATATACACACACTGTACCTTGGGATCTCCAGAGAATGGACTCCACCTTTAGCTTCGACCAGGTACTTTCCAGAGGACACGTCCAGAATCACATCATCTTTATACCTAAAATGGAAGAAAATTACAGCTCACCAGCATCAAGACGTAGAACCGTAATAGACTTTTTTTTCTCAACATCACCACTAAGATCTACTATCATATTACTATCATATCTGAAATAAGAAGAGAAAAATTATTTCATAGACTCAGCTTTAGTATTAGATTACCATATTAAAAGACTCACCATTTTACAATAGGCATGGGGAAGCCATCGACAGTACAGAAGAGTTTGACCGGAGTGTGTTCAAACACGGTGTGGGATCTGAGTCTGGCCAGGAACTTTGGTCCCCTGATCATAGGCCCCTCACGCACATATTTGTCCAACATCTTTGCACTTATCTGGACAAGGAATCAGGAATAGCAATGCATAATAAGCACATAAGTAATATACACTCCTTACTCACTCACATCTCCACATCGCCATATTATAACGCACTGACATTAATAAACTCCACACATAAACATTTCCAAAACAATGTGGTTCAACTGCCACTGTGTCAATATGAGCTCAGGTACAGATAATTACACATAATTTTCACGCAATGTTTATATGCAAGTCTGGATTGGAAAGGTTAATAGATTCTTACCATTTCCTGGACGTGAACACGTGTTTTGTGCTCATATCTTTCCTCCATCGCCTCAGAGCTAAAGACAAACACTGAGTCAGTTTTGCTAACATGTGATTATATGTGATTTTGAACATGTACCTACTTAGTATGTTTATACTGTAACACTACGTAACATTTGTTAAAAATATGTAAGAAGACATTAGCTGCATTTAAGAGTTCATCTCTCAGCACTGGTTTCAAAGCAATAATAATCATGTGTGTGAAAAATGCCTTGTGCTATTGAGGGTGTTTGGTGCTGCTTGCTTGCTGTTGTACTGTGTGTTTGTTTTGTCTCTCAGATATGTGCAACAGGCTGTATGCAGTCTGTGTTGCCAGTGATTGACAGGCCGTGTAATCGGATTCCACATTGTTTCTTGCCATTTTTTAAAACTATGAAACTACTTGTAAATGAAAGTTAAAAAGATATCCATTCATATCCAAGGATATCCATTACATGCCTAGTTCTATGACGGTAGTTCTTTGTGAAATGATCAGTAAAGTCAATCAGTACTGATCCATTAATCCCACCTAGTACTTGCTGGAACATGGGCTGTTGTACCCCAACCGGGCATTCATGAAGACTTAAGAAGTTGGTGGGTTTAAGAAGAGGTTGTGTTTGTGGTTACTGTATTAAAATTACATTAAATAAAATTACATTTGTTATTTTTCAAATAGGTATTTTTCCTTCTGACAGGCATTTAAAACTTCAGAGTAAAGTCCATTTTAATCCTTGCCATGACACCAACATAAAACAAAAGGGTGTGAACCCAGTTCATGCAAAGTATGCAGGACACTTTCCAAGAACTCTCCGTAGTAGAGACAGAAAAGTAAAGTCTCCTTGACTAAACCTGACCTTAGAAAGCCTTGAGCACCACAAAGAGAAGCTTTTGTAAGACGGTGCATTGTAGGACTTCACCTTCAACATCTGTGTTCAAGACACGATCATCTGAGCTTGTAGAAGGTTTGCACCACAAACGGTAGTGTGGTGACTGTAATTTGTGACTTAGAGAGTTACCCAAAGTTTCTTGTGCCTCAGAATCATTAGCTTTAGATGTGGTTATAATGGTATGCCTGCACAACATTGATTCATTGGATGTTTTCTTGCTGCTATACATATGTTTTGCGCATTGCCAAATCCCATTCTCAGCAGGCTATGCCACTGAAGGCCCAACCCCCGAGAGGCTGCTGCAGGGCTGGCAACAGGCCTGTTGCCTGGGAGCTGGAGATTGTCAGAAGCAAAGACACAGCCAGCAGTGGGAAGCTCTGCGTCTGTGTCTTTCATCACTGTTGTCCAGAAAGCCTTCAGGCCTGAAGTCATTCCATCACTGCCACCGGAAAACAGAGGGGACTGCCCTGCAAAGGGAAAGTCAGGGTGATCCTGAAAAGATGGCAGCGGCAGATGAAGCAGTTGGTGTTGTGACCACTGTGATGAGACCAAGGTCGGAGGAGGCGTGTTGCATATTAAGAGAGGAAGATGAGGACGTTCTTGACCAAAAATATGTCTTGGTTTTTGTGTTGCAAGTAGATGCCAGGTTGGGGTATGACGACCATTTACACAGCCTCTGGGATTTGTGGGTTTGTTCTAATTACCGAGACATGTAACATGCAATGTTTGATGTGCTGCTCTGTAGAGGAAAGTGGTTAAATGTGAAAAACAAACTCCATATGCTTTGTCACCTAGACAACTAGGAAAGATCATGTGTGGTTGTTAAAATGTGCCTGCATGGAGTTGTTATTTGGTGTTATCTAGTCTGTAGATTAATTTTTATTTTTCACATACAATAGTTAACCTGTAGCCTATTTTATTAGTAATTCATTGTTCATTGTATATTACACACAAAGGCTTCATACTTACTTGAGTTTTAAATAAAAGATAAGGAAATTGGTTAGGGAAATAAGCTCTATATTAGCAAAATCAGTACTACTGCATTATTGAACACTGTGTTAAACGTGTGCACTGGTTAGCTGCTTATTAGCAAAGATTTAAAGAGAAGCAGGAAAAGTAAGCAGCAGCAAGAATACGTTTTTTTTAAGTGGTAAATATAGTCATGAAACACAGCAGCCAGAGTACTTGATGGTATGCTTCCTAAGTCACACACACACACACACACACACACACACACACACACACCTAAACACATACACAAACACTTAAATAAACACACTGCAACAACAGCTGTGATATGTGACAGAAAATATGATTTTCCCCATCCAGAATTGACAACAGTGAAAACTGTTTTTTTTACTTGATCCTGATTAAATCAAAACTTAATATTTGCTTTTCAACATGATTCAGCTTCCCAGTGAAACATATTTTAAAATTAGTACAAGTTATTCATCATTATTCATCAAAACTTTCCTTTTGTGTTTTGTATTTAATCTGAGGAAAAGGCATCAGCATCAGACTTTTGCTGCTTGAGAGTTTTAACAGCCTCTCTTAAGCACGAGAACAAACTAATTCAAATGCAAATCCTGAGCAGTTTTTCTCAATCTGCTCAATGAAGAGTACTCTCAATATGTAAGACCTTCATTAAAACACTGTGCAGTTCACTCACTTGCACTTCAGTGCATTGCAAATGTTTCAGTGTTTTAACAGTGGGGTGTAAGGAAGCTGTAAGTTACTATGGGCTCAAGTTGGATTCAGCTTAATATCGTCAATATTGATCTATTGAAAAAAATGCTTTAATCAGCCCTGATATGGATTTAAAAGATGAGCCTAGGACATCCCATGTGAAAAAAATTCAGTTTTAGCGTGGGGTTAGTTTGGTCTTGGTATTAGCTTGTTAACCAGGTAAGCTTTCCTAATTTAAACCTAGTCTGTGTTTTTAAGATAGGTTATTTTGTTATATTTAGTTTATTAAGATGCATTTTCAGGTTTAGCAAAGACAAAGCTGACTACTGTTACAATACTACTGTTTAATGTTTTAGTTATAATTGCGTACAGCATTAGAGTGCAGCATATACCTGCTGTATTCTTTTACCACATATTTGCTATCTTTGTGGTGGTATTCATGGTTGTAATTCCCACGTTTCATCCACACTGACATGGTGACACCGTAGATACCGACCTGTTGGACCAGCAACACACACACACAGACTGACATGTTAACAAAGTACAGTAGAACCTCACAAGTCATACACAAACACCAAGGGCCACCAACCCTTAAGGACTGTCAAAGTGACTTCAGGAATTAATGAAGACAAATGTAAAGAAGGAAATAGATGGTTAACTATACCGAAAAGTACAGTCCTGTCTTTCTCATTAATGATTTGGTGCTTTGCAACAATGAGTAGTAAGAATCGTGGATAATATATTTGTGTTGACTGCCTCGCCCCCTGCAAAACCCTCCTGGAATTTGGACACATGAGAGTTTGGAAACAATGTCTCACACACACAAACACAGCAGCATTACTGTCTGCTTTAGGAATGACAAGGTGACATTATATTGATTTAAAGACACCAGCAATGCAGAAACACATGTGTACACATACGTAAACAAAAGGCATGGGTGTAAACTATTCATAGACCAGTACTGTATATGAACACCAACTGACAGTACAGCTGATTCAGACCATGTCCATCAATTTGACAACCCCTAATTCAGCACAAGCAGTCATATATTTATTAAACAGTTGTCAACTGTGAATATTTTCCACTTTAAAGAGTGAATAAAACGATACTGAATGAAACATGAAAGGACAGTTACTTAGTGTGAGCTCTGCAAAATACAGCTCTTGTCATCACAAGTGTCTATTATGCACATGCCATAACCTTGACTAGCTGAACAGAACTGAGATATAACATGGCATGAATCCAACACTAATGATGTTACCACAAATACAAAAAAATTAAAGAAAGAAAGAATGCCACACACGTATCACTGTTTCCTCAAATGTGCCTTCAAAAAATTTAGCTAGCTCATTGCTCACTGCTGCAGCAGTCTAATAAAAACTTCTCAACTACAACAGCTACTCAACTCAAAAAAAAGTTTTCTTTGGGGATTCTCACCTATCAACCATTTGTGAATGTGCATCTTCTTTCTTTCATGGATGTTAAATGCACTGCCTTTACTTTGTACGAAATACAGTCAAGGAAGATATTGCCTGAATCCATGTGAATGCAGCATGAATTTGTCTGTATTCATAGTTTAACAGTAGAGCTTTTATTCGAGGAAATTGTTTGTGTGTGTTTTTACTTTCAGGTAATGACTCACTTTCCAAGTAATTTCTACTCATTTTCTTATTCACTGTATGCCTGACATGTTTACAGTACACACCAAGGCAGGAGCATAACTTTGTCTTACATCATGCACACAGAGTGGCGTTGGAACATAATTGCCTTACATCACCCAAGTTCTTAGAGACCAAAAATAAGGTCAGATGAAACATAAAGCGACTCTCCCTCCCCATCCTCACCCTAAAAGCTACTAAGACGTGCTCCACTGGCAAAGACACTCCCATTTTCACATCTCTGAATCCCATGTTTGACTCACCTGAAACGCCCCAAAACTGCACACAGCCAGTCAACCGAATAGATAAGACCATAATGCCCTAATTCCTGACCTCTGACCTTGAGAAGTCAATAATGAAATTACAGCTTGAATCATGTCGTTGTGCAGTGGAAAGCTCCAAATGATTTACTTGTCACGAAAAAAAATTTCTGTGGTTAGACACAATTCACCCTACTGAACCAGCTTGTTCATCAGTGTCACAGAGATGTACCACTAAAATCACTCAAATCAAGGTGCCAGTTGTTTAGTTATAAACAACTGGCAGTTAGTTTAGTTATATAGCACCTTCTACAGCTGATGTCACAAAATCAAACAGACGTGGGAAGACATCATGCTTCCTAAGAGCATTAAAGCATTAAACCCAACTGCCAGTGGCCACAGGCAAGTGGTCACTGCATGCACGTCATATTCTAGTCCCATCAGTCCTACGCCCCAGTGGCTGTCCTCTGCCTCTGTCAGTCCGGCCAATACTGTAACAGCACAAATGCCTGCCAAATGACACCTGACCCTCTCCGTCTGTAACAGTAAACCTCTAAAATTCTCAACCATAAACGTACAAACCTCTAAAATTCTGCAATTCTATCATAAACAGTTGCTATTTGGATCCAAAAACTTGTCTGTGTGCTAACTACTGACAATGGTAATACAATGACACATTAATGGTTTTAATTGTAAGTTTGTTCATTTAAAATGAGAAGATCAACACATTATGCGTTCCAGAACTACACACCAGCAATTTGTCCACTGACACAACAGACCCAAATGTCCAAAACAAATTTGACTGTCTAGTGGGAGCCCATTTAACCAATTAGTCTTACTATAATAAACACACAGAGCAACCTGCTGTCTATCTGTCCTATCATAACAAGGTAATTATGTTATGTTATTATCCTCAAAACAGTGGTTAACTCATTTATTTAAATTCAGTTGACAGCCTTCATAATTCATATATCCTATCATTCATCACTTTAAGTATTATCAGCTCTGGTTAGGGGCCATGCAACATCTCTTGGCCATACCCTAACTGCTCTCTATTTCTCCATCCCACTGATCCCACCTGCTACACTTTCACTTTGAAACAAAAGTAGATTAAAAATCTGACAATCCGGAAGCGATCGCAACAGAAAGATAATAAAATTGTGGTTTTTCTTACCCCTTGAGACTTCTTTTGCAGCGACTTCGGTTGTCAGCCTGAATCCACAGGGAGTCAGCCTAAACGAAGTACCAGGCCAACAAAACCACCACCCGTCTCCATTCAACCCCCACCTGCCTCTCCCTAAGGCCTTATAAGGAGAGAGCTACCTATATATAACCAGTATCCTTCAAGACTCAGGGCCACTAGAAGCAGTTTGACTAACAGAGTTTACCCATTACAGTTTTTAGTAAAGTCCATGTTAGCCCAATTGCTGGTTTCTGTTATCTCAACAACTGATGTTAAACAACTGCTATTCAAGTATACTAGCTGATTCAAACAATGCAAAGAATCGGGCCATGGTGATGTTATGGTGGGCCGTGCCAAACATTTACAAGTAGCGTTTTTAGCTCTACAGAATAGGCAACAATATGGTTGAAGAACCACGCTGCAACAAGGCTGCTCACTATAATTCCGTCCATATCACAATGGCATAGTTGCTGAATAATAAAACATATTTTAGACGGCATTTTAGACTCCAACATTTTACACCAATTTTAAATTCAAGGTTGCAGTGGACATGGATATCTACAGTATATGGCTGTTTTACATTCTAAAATCCTTCTAGTCGCACTTGAGACAGTACTGAAGTCCCTCACTAAGATCTTTCTCCATATGCACTCAGAAACGTCTTGAGACAGACTGTGTCGCATGCTGAACTTTGGCCAGGGCCTATTTATAAAACTAGCTACAGTTACAGCTAGACTATTCCTGACACAGTGGAGAAGCTGGGAAACACATTTCACATCTGAGGCGAAATAATCTGATGGGACAAAATGGAGTTACATTTTGAGAAAATGAAAGAGAGAGAGCGGCAGGCTGGGGGCCAGGAGTGCGTGATGTGTGAGTGATGACAGACAGAAGAGAGTGAAAGAAAGCAACCAAGAAGACACAAGACAAGAAGGCAACAAAACAAAGCATAGGTGGCGGATAATTTCTTTGATGCTGAAATCTATAAGTCTCCAATAAAAGCACTGTCACGGACGCCATAAAATCAATAAAGTCTGTAAATTTGTGAATTGGGATCAACACTAGCAAAGGAAGGTGAAGCGTAGTTTGGAAACGGAGCAGGACACGGTTCTGCAGAAGTTTTATAGTAATATTTTGGTAATTCACTTTTTTCTGTTACATTAAAGATCAACAGTCACAGAATAGAAATGGATAGGAAGATAGCTGAGGCTGACCTCTCCAAGGAACAAAATTCAGGCATCCTTTTTGGACTTACAAGGTCGCCATTCCTATCACTCACACAATAACATTTGAAAATGTAACATTTTTAGTGAGATTAACTTCTAAATAAATACAAAGTATAAAATGCATGGGGTTAGCATTTTGTTAAGAGGTTAAACTGTGAGAGGTAAGAGTCACTAGGACTCAATAGGACCCTGCAATGAAAACTATATGGAGTTTTAAAGTATATTATGCCTTAATAAATACTGAATGTCTTACATGGGCAGATATCCATTGTACTTTGTTGTACCATTGTAATCTTTGTTCTCCCTTTTTGTCTGTGGTAAAAACCGAACTGACGTCTGTCTGTGGTCAAAAAGAGCCCTCTGTTGGTCAAATGGTTGTACACTCTGTAACCAAAGCCTAGTGACAACTTTAGTACATTATGTTGCTGACATTTGGTAAGCCAAGGCTTCGGGGTAATGAGGTGGTGTTAAAATGGACCAAGGAAGAAATGGCATTGAAAAAAAAAAAAAGATCTTTAAAATATATGTACAGTTTTGTTGTACTGTCAATCTCTGCTTCATCAAATTGGATGGTTTTTTTTACTATTCCAGGCAACATCTTTGACATTGCAATCCCTGGATTGCAATATGAATTATTCTCTTATTTTAGTCTCCTGACATACTTTATTTTACACATTGGCTTATAATGAATCATTATTTTAAAAAAACCCTAGGCACTCATACATTAAATAAGTCAGGCCTATCCGATTAACTTTAAATTATGTGCAGAGCATTTTACCAAGTGGAATGTCTGTCAGAATATTTCAGCTGGTAGGCACACAATACCTTTAGTTGACTTTTTCTCTATTTGCACTATTTAGAATATACACAAAAAATAGTACTATACAGTAAACTGTACTAACCAAGCACACCTAAGTATTATTTGGATCTTGGATTTACACTGACCAAGATATGAAGCATTTTGGCAGAAAATGATATCAACGGTCCCTTTCCATTAACTGCAGAGTGTGTTCATTCTGGGTTTGGTAAACCTGTCACATGATCTCTGTTAAGCTTAGAGGCATAGAGGATGGCAAGTTGCCAAAAACGGCAGCAGCTGTAAAGACATTAATGCACAGTGTAACAATGGAGATAAACAGTAACACACCCAGCATGTCCAACTGTTCATGTCCCTTGTATCAGGACTCTATATTAAACACACAAGAAATATATATACATTTTTTTGTCGCTTGGTTGTAATGTTAATACAACTGACTACAGATTTATTTTTCGTGAACGCATTGTCAAATTGACATTCTCTGTTGACACACTTTATGGACACAGTTTTCCAAATTTCACAAATGCTGTTCCTTTATTTAAAAAAATCCTTCAAAAATCACTAACATTGTGTTTATCAGAATGCAGTTTTGTTTCAAACTGACAGACATTTCAGTCAGTCTCAATTAGTTACAAAAACAATACTACTTATGAGATCATGGCGTTGTGATAACTTCTTAAACACGATAATTATTCCCTCCGTAACATGAAACGAAATGTGACAGGAATTGCCCTAAAATCACCATTAAAACTTAGGCTACTAAGATTTTATTTCACATTGTAGTGCACGCTGCCTTGAAAGGGACGATTGCACATTATCACACCAGCCAACAAGCTTTTCAAAGCCTCACGACATACAAGGCTCCAGGAGAAAAAGGAGCAGCCGGCTGGGTCCGGACAACGAATCAAGCCACCCATTCTACCACGTGATGACGCAAGACGTCTACGGCGCTCCCGATTGGCTGAGCACCAGGCAGGTAGTGAGGCGGCTTCAGCACGTAATGGACATAAACAACAGACTGTGTCCTGGGACTGTAGGACTGTAGGACTGTGTGCAGCTAATGCTCTAACTAACCCAGTTAAGTTATCTACATCACACACTGCGCGGCGT